AAAGATGTTCCATGCCGAAATCAGTGGAGCACTTGTTCAATATTCTCTTGTTACTTCTGCAGAAGGGCTGAAATCCTGTTTGCACAACTTCTGTAGATAAAGCCGATGACATCATCAGAATTCCAATGGATCTTGGGGTGAGATTAGAAATATTTTATTCCTGAAAAAAAAATCTAAGGCTGATAACATCATCAGCCTTATGTGATGTTGCTACACATTTTAACCAACATATTTCAAAATGTATTACATTCACAAATATATGGAATAGGTTTTCAAGGGTGTTTTTACATTGTGTTTGTTTTGCAAGTTTCATTTATGAAGCCATAAATATCTTTCCTGCATTCACACTATATATATATATGCTGCAATATATACGTATATTGCAATCCTGTTCATTTGTCATTCATGTGGTTTTTTCTTGACAGCTTGGCAGGGGGCTCACCTGGGCAAAATTACAGGAATTGACCAGTTCTGCAAAGATGAAACAGCAAAAGGTGGACGTTTTTATACCAAAATTCAAGCTGGAAGAAAAATATTCTCTCAAACCAGTCTTAAAAGCTGTGGGAATGACTGATGTCTTTACACAGGGAAAAGCTGACTTATCTGGCATGCCAGAAGGTCATGCTCAGAACCTGGTTGTGTCCAGGGTCATTCATGAATCTTATGTTGAAGTCAATGAAGAAGGTTCAGAGGCAGCAGGTGCCACTGGTCTGGAGGTGATACCATTAAAAATGAACCTTATCTTTAGAGCTTCCTTTTGTTTCTAATAAATAAAAAAAGACCCAGAGCATCCTCTTTCTCGGCATGTATTCCTCACCAGAAGCAGCAGGGACTCAAATCATAGCAAGCATATTCACATGGTTTTTGGAACCCAGAATGCTATAGGACTGGAATCAGCCAAGCTTTTTCCAAATTCTCTTTTCTGCTTGGCTAATGGTTTTCCCTCTTTAAAAAGGACTAAATCCTAAGACTTTCCTTTTTTTGACTTATTCAGACAAAAATCACCTGTTCATATCTTACTCTTTCCTTCAACAAAAAGGAAAATATTTTGCACAGTACATCATTTACTGGATAGCCTCTGATGTTCTTCTTCCCATAGAAGAAAAAAGAAGAAACTGTAGGCATGGGCTGTTGACCAAAAGAAATATTTTAACTACTGGGAAAGAAGAACTTCAGAGGGTGGTGAAGAAAGTGTTACAATCAACTTATGAAAATATGCGTTTCCTCTTGCACCTAATGTGTTTTGAGTATGACATTTCATCTGAGGTAAGAGTTCCTCTGTGTCAACTGAATAGCGCCTTCTTGTGCCCAACTTAAGAAAACTGTGCAGTTCTTCTGAGCACCTTCTGATCATCATCATTATCCTTCCTTAGCTAGAATACAACTCTTGCAGAGTTTTTTCCACTTGGCCTCCACTGTGGCCACTGAAGATGTTATGTGGGGTTCTAATTCGTTCAGTGTAACCTGTGAAAGTTCTTAAAGACTGCATTGTAATCTGTAGAACGGTATTCTGTTTATTTTAAATAAAAGGAGACTTTCAGCAAAAGTTAGTATTTGTATTGATTAACACTCAAGGCTTTGAGCTGCTAGATCACCCAATCAGTTGAAAGCCTTCTGCTGAATGTGAATTTGTGGGGTGGGAGTTGCCTTCTACCATCCCAGTGTGGTTGCTATGCCTTTTAGCTGAACAAGAGCAAACATTTCAGGGGGTAGATTTGTTGATGGATTAGAAAGTTTCCATCTGATTTATTTCTGCTTCTTATACAAAGGTGGAAAGCCTTCTGGGTTGGCCTACCATTGGAAAGAGTGATGTGTACCAAACAGTCCATTATTTACTTGGTCATGATTTAATTTCTACTGCCAAGATTGGGGAGAAATGCAGGTGGGCCTTTCTGCCCACAAGCAACTGTAGTACGAGGAAACATCTTCACCAGGTTGAGAATTAGGTACCATGAATCAGGAGAGAAATTCTGCTGCTCAAAACAGCTATTTCAGCGGTATGATAAGAATTTTAATACTGAGCCTTTTATTCTTTGCATACCCTTGCCAAGTTATTTTCTGATATAAGACTTTCTGTTCTTTTTAAAAGGCCACTGTAAATTTAGCCTATAGGTATGGCAGCAAAATGGTGGTGAAAATGTGCCTAATACAAATCAGGCCTCCCAAACAAGGTTTATCTTACCTTTCACCCTTATTTTCCTGTTTACCATTTGGGGATTAACAAATTTCAAGGTAGAAATTATGTTCAGTAGTTCTTGATAATGTAATGTGGCCTGAAACTCTGACTACCTAGGATACTGCCTCAAGCCTCCACTGGTGCCAAGAACATGTGTGAAGTCTTGTGAGGGCCATTCTCTTTATGAAACTTCCCAGCCACCACGAGACTCATTTCCCAGGATCCTACATCACAACATCAGGGATGCAGCCTATGCTGGATAGGTTACACTCCCTCTAAAAACACAGGCACACAACTTGGGGATGCTCCTGGATTCACCTCTGAATCTGGATGCCCAGGTTTCAGGAGTGGCCAAGAGTGCACTGGCTGTCCCCTTTCCTGAAGACATGCATCTCTGAGTCTGGATGCCCAGGTTTCAGGGGTGGCCAAGAGTGCACTGGCTGTTATTATAAATTGTGATTATTGTGTGTGGTCTGGCCACAGTGATACATGCCTTAGTAACATCTCAGCTGGATTATTGTTATAAATTTATTATAAATTGTGATTATTGTGTGGGGTTGCCTCTGGAAAGTGTCAAGAAACTTCAGCAGGTCCAAACACAGCAGCCAGATGGCTAACTGAGGCTAGTCACAGGGATCACATAACCCCCCATTACAGTAGCCTCCATGGGTTGCTCATCCATTTCTGGGTACAATGCAAAGTGTAGGTTTTAGCCTATAAAGTGCTTAATGGCTAGGGTCCATTTGTGAGCCTGTCCGGCTGTTATGATAATCAGGAGAGGCCTTTCTCTCAGTCCCACCATCTTCACAGATGTATTTGGTGGAACACTGGAGAGGGCCTTCTCTGTTGCTGCTCCCAGACTCTGGAACTCCCTCCCACAATAGGTCAGGCTGGCCCAGTCTTTACAGTCCTCCTGCAAGCAGTCAAAGCCCTTTCTCTTCAGGCAAGCTTTCCCTCAGTGACTGACTGCCTGAGTGGGTTTTTTATATAGATGGTTGTGCCTTACTGCCTTGAATGAGTTTTTGGTGTTGCTTTTGTTTACTGTCTTTTAGTGTGGCATTTGTTTGATCTTTTTTAGTATTGGTATGCTTACTGTACCTTGGTTCAATGATCTCTGACACTCTCTCCCTAGATGTTGAGCTGGATAAACGCATTGGGAAAGCAGCTACCATGTTCTCTAGACTCACAAAGAGTGTATGGCTTAATAAAAAGCTGATGGCGTATACCAAGTTCCAGGTCTATAGAGCCTGTGTTCTGAGTACTGTACACTCCTGTACTGCAGTGAGTCCTGGACCCTTTGTGCACAGCAGGAGAGGAAGCTGAACACATTTCATATGCATTGTCTCTGATGCATTCTTGGTATCATCTGGCAGAACAAAGTTCCAAATAGAGTAGTCCTAGAGTGAGCTGGCATTTTCAGTATGTATACATTACTGAAACAGCGATGTCTCCTTTGGCTCAGGCATGTCATGAGAACGGCTGATGGTTGGATTCCAAAAGATCTCCTGTATGGAGAATTAGCGCAGGGAAATCACCCCAGAGGGAGACCACAGCTGTGATAGAAGGATATCTGCAAGCAGGATCTGAAGGCCTTAGGAATGGACCTCAACAGATGGGAAACCCTGACATCTGAGCATTCAGCCTGGAGGCAGGTAGTGCATCATGGCCTCTCCCAGTTTGAAGAGACCCTTGTCCAGCAGGCCGAGGCAAAGAGGCAGTCCCGAAACCCGGAAAATCAGGGAGCTGGACAGGGGACAGATCGTATTTGTCTTCAGTGTAGAAGGGATGGTCACTCTCGAATTGGCCTTTTCAGCCATACTAGACGCTGTTCCAAGTCCTCCATACAGAGCACATAACCATAGTCTCTCGAGACTGAAGGATGCCTACAAAAAAGTAATAGTAATAGTAAAAATGTGCCGCTGTGACAATTCTAACTTATACTAACCTGCTCTCCCAGAGTTTTCTAGGTATAATTATTCATAGTCGTTTACCAGTCCCTCTGCTAGTGGTGGTGCTTTGGGATTGTGCAGTCCATCAGCCACATATGCTCCAGATGATCTTGGTTGTCCCCTCTCCTGAGTGGGCCTTCAAATTCCTGAGCCCTGGTTTCACTGCCAGGTGCTCCAATCCCCTGAGCTATTTACACACATCTGGCTTTATTAACTGTGGCACAACTCTGGCTGCATTGTAATTGAGATGATAGCCAGCAGATGGCAGCAAAAGGGCTCCCTCAGCAATTCTTGAAGTCCCAGCCAGGCTCTTAAGAACTGCTTAGCTAGATCCAAGGTACTGGAGTAACTCAACACCTCCCCTTCTAATCTTTTAGTGCTGCCAGCCAGGAAGTGTGAGCACATTTTGCAATGAATTACAGCAAGCTTTATATTGACGATTAGTAACTCTTTCAGGATCCCTCATACCATAAGATACAGTGGGGGCAAATGCGTCACTCCCTGAATTCCTATAAAACTGGCCAGCTCTTTATTCTTTACCAAGAGAAAGAACAGATATAAGTCTCCAAACCTTTTTGCAGATCAAATATCAGATCTGAAAATGCTTGCTCACTCTCCGTTGGACACATGCTCCATTTTTTCATGCCTACTTCTGTTGTACTTTTGGTGATAATCCAGTTTTCCAGAGGGACCATATTTTACATGGACAAGTAGTGAAAGGGGCCAGAAATGCTGGTTTTAATGAGAGATCCACACCCAAAGTACCTCAAAGAAAGATGGCTCTATCTAAAACCCATGAAAATACGCCTATGACAAGATGTTTCAGCAAATGTCTCTCTGCCTCTCCAGGCTTCCAATTCCCAACTCCCTGGACCGGAAGGAATCAGTACATGAAGGTTTGCTGGAACGCCATACTGGTGGGAGATTCCACTGCAGAGTTGCTGGCAGGAAATTCTGCATATGCAACTGGTAACAACCTGATTTGTAAGTGAACTCAGGTATGGAGAACCCTGATTGGACTGTGTGTTTGTGTGTGTGTTTAATATGCATGGGATTACATTTAAATCAGTGTAAGAAACAAAAAGCTATTCATAGTAAAACAAATTAAGGGACCTACTAGAATATCCTTGAGGTCAAATTGAGCATCTTTGCTACCAATTCTCTCACTTCTGCAACAGTTCATAAAAGATAGAATATTGGCAGATATGGCATCTCCTGATATGAGTGCTACTCATCTGAACCTCCTTACCCATTTTTTCCCCTGTAGGACAGAATCTGTTTCTTTAAAAAATCCTCTGGTTTATGAATGTGGGGTATTGTGCTTCTGTATCCTAAATTCAAAATACTGTGCCAGGAAATGGCATTCAAAATGCCAGGAAATGCTGCACAATATTGTGCCCATGTTGCCAACAGAAAAAAAGATGCTAAGGTTTACATAGTGAAGGGCAGCCTGAATGTTGACAACACCAATAGAGGTAGTTAAGATGTTTTACAGGGTAACTTCTTGTGCTCACTACCATTCACAAAGTGACGTCACACAAGGGAAAATCCCAGAAGGTGAATCACTTCTCATCTACATACAAAGCAATTGTCAGGACTGTTTTTTCAATATGAGAAAGCAGTATCTTCACAGAAGATCTTCCCTGGGCATGGTTGCCTAGAGGTAATCACGAGGAGATGACAGAGGCAGAAGGCATGGGCATGGCACAGCACTGAGGCCCTCTGAAACTCGCTCACAGCCCCAAATTCTTTAAGTGCCTAGCAATATCCCTATAATCATAATTCAATTACGTATTTAAAAAGCCCTATGGTTTATGAATGTGGGATATTGTGCTTCTGTTCTCATGATTCAAAAAGCCAGGAAATGGCTGATATTGCGAACAATATCATGCCTGCATCGCCAGCAGCAAAAAGGTTGCCAAGCTTTCCACAGCAGAGGGCAGCCTGAGTCTTGACAACACCAATGGCCAAAGTCAAGATCACCACCATTCACACTTGTTGAAAAACAGCCCTGACAATTACTTTGTGTTTGGGTGAGAAGTGATTAACCGATGAAAAAAGGAGTCGGCTTGTGGGATTTTCCCTTGTGTGGTGCCCCTTTGAGAATGATAATGAGCACAATTGAATTTTGTGGCTTTTTAAAAAGGGGAGTTAAATATATATAATTTCATACACACCACACAAAAATTCCAACAGAAACTTACCTCATCTAGAATTATCCAGTGCTAAAGGATTCCAGAATATGAGCACATGATTTGTACTATTGTTACTAGAAGACATAAGCAAGAACCGCTGAGATTTGGCTGTAGTCCCTCTGTGCCAAAATATTTTAAAGGGGTGTTTTGGGTTTAATGAAATGGTGAGAATAGGTAAAACACATACAATTGAGAAACATACATACCCCTTAACCTCTCAGGTAAAGTAATGTTGCCATGCCCACTCCACAGAATGTAGACTAGAAAGCGATGTTCGGATTTTCCTAACCCTTTACGTGAGTTAGGCAAGGTGAAGAAGAAAAGCTGTATTGGACTAAAAGCTCTACAAACATGTTGTTTGCATATTTTTCAAAAGATGTCCCTTTGCCTTTTGAAATAAGAAAAGAGGAAGAGGTTAGAGTTAGCAAAGAAAGCCATTGGAAACCAAAGTCAAATCATGTGAAAGGAAGACAGTGAAGAAAGACAGGGGCAAAAATCAACTCATTTGCAATGTGGTGTTTGGAAGAGATGTGAAAGACAGCCAGAAAAGCAGAAGAGTGGGTGCTCAATCAAGTCAAACAAAAATGTGTCAGTTGAGCCTATCCTACCATGCGCATACAATAGAAATACAGAAGTGATCAGAATAAACTATATTGCTGGGGAAAGTGGGGTAGAGCAGTAAGAAAAGAGGAAGAGCTAACATGTGATGGGTTGACTCAATAGAGGAAGCCACAGCAGTGAGTTTGCAAGAACTGAGCAGAACTTAACAGACAAGACAATATTGTTAGGAGGGGGCAGTAGGAAGATAGAACAATCTGTCATGAGAAGCTGTTGGTCTGAAAGATCTGAGCACAACTGTTAATGACAGGACCTTTTGGAATTCAGTAATTCATATAGCTAGTCACCACACATCAGAAGTGACTCCATGGCACATAGCATCTTTGGAGTTTTTTCCCTAATTACCAGACAATGGTATAATGATAAGATGGGTGGAATAGGTATCAAGACCATCCCCAGCCACAAAGCCAAAAACAGTAATTTCACAATTTTTGTTCTCTGTTTTTATTAAAATATCTTTTAAAATATTTTACACCAGAAGTAGAAACTCTTTTTAATGTCTAGCCAGGAGAGAGTCAGAAATGTCTCCTGAGAGTCATTAAATTTGGTCTTTATCAGTAGGTCCAAAAGTTGAGATCTCCCTTTGCTGCTCTCAGACTTGCAATATTGTTTACATGTACAATGTCTGGTGAAAGTCGGGGGGGACTTTGAAATTATTTTTCTCAGATTTGGCCTAACACCCCCCTAAACTTGGATTCCACCCATTTTATTTTATTTTTTTTACTTTTTAAAAGAGGGGGCTGGGACTAACCATTCTCTTTCAAGTAAAGTAAGTTTGGTCTTTTCAATGTATTTGATTTGTTTTAAATCTGCAGACAAAAATGGTTGCTGATGTCTGCATGGGGTGGTGGTCAAATAGTTTCATTTTTAAAAATCATAACTTGGAAACCATTTGCCCAAACATTTCCAAATTTGGCATACAGCAAGACCAGACTATCTGCTAGAACTGTGCCAAAAACCAGCTTCAAAGTTATGCATTTTTGCTTGGGGTGCCCCCATTTTTTCATTGCCTTATGGAATGCTAATTTGCTCTGCTGTACAATATATCAAAATAATTAATCATTTCATCAAACAAACCCAAGATAATGATCTTTAACTTTCTGCGAACCCACAAGTTACATTGTATATATTGACAAACAGGAACTTGCAGCACAAGTAATGTGTGGGTTTTAATTTCCTACTATTTTTTTCTTCACTTTCCTGTTGTTTTAACCGCTCATCAGATTGGGAAAGACAAAGACTGCAAAAGAAAAACACAACACCATGATTAGAGAGAGGTCCACAGAAAAGAGGTATCATGATTTGTACCATGATGGAGATTCTGGGGTTCTTCTGGTGCAGGTCATGAGGTCAGGTCAGAGGAAGGGCACACTGCCTCCAATCCTATGCAGCTGGCTGAAATCACATGTGCATTTCGGAGGAATTTACCAGTATTCAAGAACCTTCCCCCATGTCAGTTAATGAGCATATGCTTTTAGTTTATGCTTTTAGGGCTTTAAATGTCACTCCAGTTACAGTGAGGGAAGACATTCCTCAAGATGCATGTTCTGGATGCTAGCTCACATTATTCTTTCTCCCAGGGTGTTTCAATGGAGAAGGTTCAATGTAAATTTGCTCTAGTTCATCCACACATTTTTCTATGGGATATCAGTATGAGACCAGAATCAGTTTCTTTGTTCTCCTGTGTTCAGCCATTGGTTGCATCTCATTTTCTTAGAGTATAGGAAGTGTTGTCTTTTGTAGAAGAACATAAAGTCAGGAGCAGTTTGGCTTGGTTTTAGTATATGCAGTCACACATCATTAAAGGATTCTGGGGCTACCTCTCTGGCTTTGCACTCAACTTCCATTTGCTGATCAAAGTCCTGAAAAGATACTGAGTCATAGCTATGGAGTCTTTTGATCACATGGATAATTCTCCAAAAGTCAGTTTCCCCTTCAGATCTTCTCCCTCTAGTATGCTGAAGTCTGAGGCAAATGGAGGCAACCAAGTGTAGTATTGGAGCAGATAATATGGCTGCCTGGATAACTCAGTAAAAGGTAATATGGCTGCCTGGATAACTCAGTAAAAGGTAATATGGCTGCCTGGATAGCTCAGTAAAAGGTAATATGGCTGCCTGGATAGCTCAGTGGTTTAGGTCTCTGGCTGCAGATCCAGAGGTTGGGAATGCAATTCCCCACTGTGCCTGCAGAGAGCAGAGCCAGCCTGTGTGGCCTTGGGCAAGCTGCACAGTTCCAGAAAAGGGGAATGGTAAACTACTTCCGAGTATTCTCTACCTGAAAAACTCTGGAAAGGGTAGCCATAAGTCAAAATGGACTTGGCGGCACATGATGCTGAGGAGGAGGAGAAGGTCATGAGTGATGGGAGGCAGGAAAGCAAACAAGAGCTTCTAGAGTTAGCATGAGACTGGAGTGCAGCCTTGAAAACCCTACCTATTGAAGTGCCTCTTTGCTTCCTACGTTTTCTGCTGTCATACATTTGTAAACAAAGCACTGTTACAAAGCTCACTACTCTCTCACCCCAAGGAAACTAAATTCTAGACCTGGAAGATTTTCTCATGTGCCAATTACATAAGAATAGTAATCTGGGTCCACAGTGAAACCTAGGCATTGCCTTGTTTACAAGCAAAAACTCTGGGCTTTGAAAAGAGAATGAGACAACCACATACTCCATGAATCGGCTTCATAAGAAAAAGAAAAAAAAACTTGTACATCTTATTCACACAATGCACAAGTTTCTGAATCAGAATCAAAGCAGGTCTGTTGAAGCCACACCCAAAGAAAACGCTTGTTCATAGTTTGTGATAAGAATGCAAGCCATACTTCTCATCTTTATGTGCAAGCATGAATCATAGTTGCTCTGAAAGATCCTGTGAAAAGTTATTTGAAGGCCAGACTGTGCCTACTTTCAGGATTGCAGTGCTTCAAGTGAAAGTTCCTCATGGCTATTGTTTGAGAAGGAGACCACATAGGTGTGGTCAGGTAGATACAAAGAAGGCAGTATGTTGCAGACAAGATGGAATGTGGGCTTGGTGCTTACTTGTCGCTTAGTGACAAACAAACAAACAGTCCTCATGGAAAAATCCAATTCTGAAAGAACTTTTCATGCCAGATTATAGTAATCCAGTTTGAAAGTTGCAGCAAGAAACAGGTTTGATTGGATGGACATGTTCA